TGGGTTGGGCCATGTTCACACAGGCAATCCATAAAGCGTCGCACCCCATGGCCTGTTATCAGAGCCATCCAGTTCCTCTCAGACGTTAATTGGGTTTCTGGCTCTTTGAACAAGGCCAGCCAGGATGAAGGAGCAGTACCAGATGGAACTAGATACATCTGCTCAGGCCTTGCAAAAACTGACTAAAACAGAGATGGTTCCAACCAACGGCGCCTTTCCTCAGAGTCCCCTAACATTGTGGAGAGGAGGGTGGCAGGGTTGGGCTTGTGTGAACACCAAGACGCTGGTTCAGAGCCAGGTTCCATTTTACTCCAACAGGCAGTTTGAAGGTAGAGAGTTGGAGGGAAAATTCTGGTTCTGTCTCTCGTCCCCCCCACCAAAGCTGCCCTCTTGATCAAACCGGCCTCTTGAAAGGCTGTAACTCATTAGTAGCAGCTGCTTCTGCCACCCATTAGTTCTCCTGAAGTCAGGACACCCGAGGTATCTCCACTGAGCATGCCTGAGGGCTCATGGTGCCCAGCCAGCTCTGTGTAAGTCTGCCAGACCATACCCGGTATTCCCTGTAACTGGATCGCACTGTGCTGCGGGCCTTCCTGAAATCCAGGAAAGCATCCTCTGAGTCCAGACAACATGGGGTTGTGGAACTCTGACTGGAGCAGCACCCAAACCAAACTTCTGTGGGCTCGTTAATCATTATCTGAGCAGGAGGAAAGTGCCTAGAACAAGTTCTCCTCAGCCCACGAGATGTTCTGCAGAACCAGCCTTTGTGCCTAGGAAGCAAAATCCATGACTGTAGGGAACACAGGACGTTTGGTCGTGAGCGCAAGTGACGTTGTTCATCTTGCGTCAGCCAGACACACACCGTACCAGTAGCTGGCACTGAGGGGAACCATGGCGACGTGCCTTGAGACTGAACTCTGCTCACCTGAATATGATCCCGGCTATGAAGTAAAAGATTCCAAGCGTATCCATGATGTTCCACGGATCTAAGAAATATTTATTCCCATTCATGTACCACTAGAAAGGGAAAAGAGCAGAGAATTGTCACCACAGCACGCTGGCAGCACTCATTACTCCCACTGTCTGCCCTGCTCCACTGCCACGACTCGCTTTGGGTAAGGAGGGTAGTGTAGACATACCCTGAGTGCCTTCAGGAGTTGCACATGGAATAAGGCCCTATCACAGTAAAAGTACACACATGGAGTAAGGCCCTACTCACAGTAAGCACACATAGGGTGTGTCTAAACTACATGGCTCCGTTGATGGAGCCATGTAGATTAGGCTGATCAGCAGAGGGAAATGAAGCCGCGATTTAAATAATCGTGGCTTCATTTAAATTTAAATGGTGTTTGTTTGGCAAAGGGGAATTAAGCCGCGATTTAAATAATCGCGGCTTCATTTAAATTTAAATAGCTGCCCCACTCTGCCGATCAGCTGTTTGTCGGCAGATCGGGGCAGTCTGGACGCACCCCTGTTGACATGAACGCCCTTTCTCGACCTCCCCGGTAAACTTCATCCTACGAGGCATAACGGGTAGGTCGATAAAGGGCTTTCAGGTCGGCGCGGGAGCATCCAACTAGCGCGCTCAGCTGACAAACAGCTGATCAGCTGTTTATCGGCTCAGCGCGGCAGCCATTTAAATTTAAATGAAGCCGTGATTATTTAAATCGCGGCTTCATTTCCCTCTGCCGATCAGCTTAATCTACATGGCTCCATCGTTGAGCACCAATGAGATAACACAGCAATCTTCAGCTGCGACCCCTCACTTCTTGTCCAGCCAAGACGTTGCTCACTCCTGGAATCCCACCTCTCCCAACTGCTCCTAGGGGAAGTACCTGCTAACTGATTACTAAATATTACTAGATCAGGGGTGTTTTTTCCATAACATTCTCCAAAGGAACACTTGAATATTTACCTGTAGGTATTTTCAACCAAGGATGCACCTGAAAGCCAGTCTCAAATGTAACTTTGACTCCACCCAGCTCTGAATTTCATGGACAGGGGTCATTACTTTGGGGTCCACATTGGGCCTGAAATGGGGCAGGGCTCTGGATTCTAGATCCTGGCCACTCTGGAGAGAAGTACTATATGATCAATTGAAAACGAGATTTCCGCCATTTTGATCGATTCTCATCAACCAGCTCACAAGCACCCAGCAATAACAAATCTCCTCCCAACCTTTGGTTCTGATTCAGCTTGGAACCTCAGGCTCCATGCTAAGGGTACTTCTAGCCTCTGTATCAATCCCAAAGGAAATGCAATAAAAGCATCAGATCATCTCAAACTTCAACACCGCGATCTGGTAAAAGGCATCTTCAGTCGTTATAAAGAATTGCCATGGACTGAGAGTTAGTTGCAGATTTCACAATCCTTTAAACGTATTTTAAAGTTAGTCTGTGAAGGACCCCGATTTCTAATTCTGATACAAGTATTCGGCTGTGTTTCTGAAGTGGAATGGTGGCATCTAGTGGTGGGTTGAACTAATTCCAGGGTTGCTTTTCCCCAAAGTATCCCATGTGAAATAGCCCATTCTGGACTTCTTGGAGTATTTTTAACTTCTACAAAGACACTCATTTTTCAATTGATCATTAACGATCAAGAACTCAAATACTTCTGAATGTTTGGAGTCTGACCAATCACTGGTGGCATCTCAGCCGCTGGGGAGCAGCGAATAGCTACTCAATTCTCCCTGCATTTGAAAGCAAACCAGTGCGGCTGTTTACAGCATGACAAAGGAGCAAATCATGCTTTGGCAGTAGCTGTCATTTTCCATAGGATCAGAAGCGGGGTTAATAATGCACCACGGCTACACAGATGTTTAGACAAGAATTTGCACGGCTGTTGGAGCCAGATGGGTCCCGGGAGATGAGAAAGGCAAGGTGGGCGAGGGAATATCTTTGATCGGCTCAGCTCCTGCTGGTGGGAGAGAGAAGGTTTCAAGCTACACTGAGCTGAAGAACAGCTGTTCTCTGTCACGGGAAAGTTTGTCTCTAGTCCAATCAAAGATATTGCGTTAGGCCCAGCTGGATTGTGTGACCATCCAACCCCTTTGGCCTGCACTTTCTGAACCGGGAGTTGCTGATCACTCTTTCACTAAGCTGTTGCAGTTGAGAATGGCTGGCCACCTGCATCACGCTGCCAGGGTTGTAGCTGGATGTACACAGGAGGCTCAAGGAGGGGCCCAGAGAGGCCTGGAACCCTGATCAGGAAAAGCCACACAAGACAAGAATCATTTCGCCATGGAGGATTTCACGGTAGCAGATACGTATAATCTTTCCCCTTTGTCCCCTGTATTGCCAAAGGCGCAGCCATATTTAGCTGATATCGGATATCTCTTTTTCCTGGAAAATTTAGTAGCAGGATTTCAGCCATGCTGGGCATGGGGGCGGGTTCACCTTGCCATGCTCTTTATGCAGGTAGCCATGTGTCGGCACTTGTCCTCTGGCCGCATGGCTCACAAGGGACTCACGCCTGCACGGAGCAACTAATAACCTAAGCACCAACTTCTCTCAGCCACAGACAAGTCGTGATTTCCACGACTTCCTCACCACTCTGAAGAACTCCCACTACTATATCTGTTCTCACCTTAAAAGACAGCCATGTCTCCTACGCCCTCTTTGTGTGGCGGGTGCTGGGCCCCGGGACCTGGATATTCAAAAGCACCCAGGATTCCCGGCTGCCTCCTCTACTGCAGCCATGGTGGTGGCTGGACCTCAGGCCCTTTAAATCCCTTTAAGTCTCTAGCTCCGCCCCTTCCATCCAAGACCCCGCCCCTTCCTGGGGCACGGAGCTGCCCCTCCCCCTACCTTGCCTGGGAACCCAGCGAATCTGCCAGCCCTCCTTGGTTTCTCTCATTCTTGAAATGACACATACCCACGAGAGCTGCGTCAGTTTGTCAAAGCATTCTAGAGCATGATGGCACATTTTCCATTTCAAATGTAATCTAAATGGCTCAGGTTGACCATTCACATCACGGGGCTCTGAGAGACCGAATGGCAAGATCCTCAGAAGGTATTTAGGTGCCTAAATACTACTGAAAGGCACCTAAATACCTCAGAGGATGTGAGTCACGGACTAACACATACAGCACAGCTCAGTGCGTTCCCCTCAACACACACGGGCACAGCTACTGCCAGCGTCAGCAGGAGTCGTGCATCACATAACCCTCAAGCGGATCTCCATTTCTTTCTGCGCCTAGCAGGGGAGGAGGAAGCATCCGCCTGGACATGGGCCACTTTGGGTCCCCAGCGATGCGTACTTGTCTCACTTCGTCACAAAACAGGATGAAGACCAGAACGTAGAGGATGAGCTCCAGCAGGGTGGGTTCCCTCTGGAAATCCATCAGCAGGACATAGGCGAACAGCAGCAGGAAAACGATGTAGAAGATGACATTCCAAGAGAAGACCACGAAAGGGGAGGTGAAGAACGAGGCATAGTACAACAAGAGCTTCTTGCTCCTCTCCACGGGCTTTTTTCTAGATAAATAAAGGATCATCTCAAACACACGCCCCTCAAGACTTTAAAAAATGTTCCTTGTGAAATTAAACGAGTCACCATGCAAATGTGCAAAAGTGCTTTCATAGAATCATAAGACTGGAAGGGTCCACAAGAGGTCCTCAAGTCCAGAGTCCCACTCAGTCTCTAGCTCCGCCTTATCTATATCAGTGTTTCTCAACCTTTTTAAATAAAGTACCTTTTTCTAAAAAAATTATAAATACTCCCAGTACCTACAGTTTTCAGACACACAAAATTTTTTTTTTCATTGCAACACATTTGTTTAAACAACTTAATTGTAGCCGGGCAGGCAATGAAATTTTTGGGTGTAAAAAGTACAAAAATAATAAAGCGCTGTAAAACTTAAAACAAAAATTCAGTTTTCTCCAAATTTCAGTTGTGTTGACGTACCCTTCAGACTTCTCTCAAGTAGCCCTAAGGGGACTCGTACTACTGGTTGAGAAACACTGATCTAGACCATCCCTGATAGCTGTTTATCCAATCTGTTCTTAGTCATCTTCACTGATGGAGATTTCACATCTTCCCTAGGCAATTTATTCCAGTGCTTACCCATCCTGGTGCAATTTTCTTAGCAATTGGCTGAACAAAAGGTAGGACTGAGTGGACTTGTAGGCTTTAAAGTTTTACATTGTTTTGTTTTTGAATGTTATATAACAACAAAAAATCTGCATTTGTAAGTTGCACTTTCATGATAAAGAGATTGTACCACAGTGCTTGTATGAGGTACACTGAAAAATACTATTTCTTTTGTTCATTATTTTACCATTTTAAAAACAATAATATTAAGTGAGAAGTGAACACTTTGGGTACGTCTAAACTACATGGCTCTGTCGATGGAGCCATGTAAATTTAAATGAAGCCGCGATCATTTAAATCGCGGCTTCATTTAAATTTACATGGCTGCCGCGCTGATCAGCTGTTTGTCTGCTCAGCGCGCTAGTCTGGACGCTCCCCTGCCGACATCAAAGCCCTTTGTCGGCAGCCCCGTTATTCCTTGTGGGCTGAGGTTTACCGAGGCTGCCGACAAAGGGCTTTGATGTCGGCAGGGGAGCGTTCAGACTAGCGTGCTGAGCGGACAAACAGCTGATCAGCTGGTTGTCGGCTCAGCGCGGCAGCCATGTAAATTTAAATGAAGCCGCGATCATTTAAATCGCGGCTTCATTTGACTTTGCCTATGTGTCTAATCTACATGCCTCTGGCGACAGAGGCATGTAGTCTAGACACAGCCTTTGTGTCCTGTGTTGTAATAGAAATCAATCTATTTGAAACTGTAGAAAAACATCCAAAATATTTGCTTAATTTCTATTGACATTCTATTGTTTAACATTTTTTATTGGCAATTACACTAATCACACTAACTGGGATTAATCAACAGCCCTATATTTCATTGCTCCTATGCTGGAACAAGAACAATAATTCTTATTTTAAAAGGCTGTTTAAAATACGTTCATTGTTTGAGGCACTCAGACACTATAATGATTTGAGCCAGATACTAGCCCCTAAGCAGGTAATGTTGACATGCTTCCTTTCTGTTTTTCTACCAGTGAAAACTCTATTACCTGAAGGAGATGAAACCACAGCCGATTAAAGGGAAAAGGAAGAGACACAATAGAATCTTCCAGTTCTTGGTGTCCCTCGAGATCTCTCCATACCACTGTTTGGAAAGGAAATTCTAGAGCAAAGAGGAGGAAGATTCATCCAGGTTTTACTGAAGCTGGGAAGCACAGAAAGCAGAACTGTAAAATGCATTTGCTGTTTAAAGCCCAACAATTTCTATGGAACGAGATTCAGTTATTGAATTTCCTTAGCACTGGAGGTCTTGGGAGCTGCAGAACTACTGAGCTATTGAGGTCAAGAGAAAGGAAGGACCACTACGCAATCTCACCTCTCCATGCTGGCCCATTAGCTAGCATCTCCAGAAGATGGGAGGAGGAGGATCAAGTGGCGATACTTCCAAAAGTTTTTGAGGTAGGAGAAGCAGTTGGTTTGACTTACCTGAGGGAGCCTTAGGTTAGGAGATGCACTGGGAGAAAAATCTCAGCCAGCCTCCATCAATAGGCCTTCTATGAACCCCAGCTGTAAATTCAAACTTCCTTCTGCTGGCATAACGCCTGGGGTGAATCACCCGTCCCATCCCTGCATCATTCAATGCCCACTTTGCACATTCCTGTTTCAACTGCAACCCTCTACTTGGGGTGAGGGCATGGCCCACAGGTGAACCCACAGCTTGGGGAAGCTAGCCCTGCCCCCTCAGCCCTGCCTCTTCTGCCAGAGGTCCTGCCCCTTCCATGCCCATGGGAGCCCTCCTCCCATGGCTGTTGCTGGCCCTGCCCCAGTGTAGTGCCCCAGAGTGCCGGAGAGGACAGCCAGGTGACCTAGCCCCAGCTGCCCCTGTTGGCCTGAACCCTGACTATGAAGGCTCCCCACATGTAGCCAAGCCAACCCCCAGCCTGCCTGCCTGCCCCAGGCCCTGCCATGGCAACAGCAGGCCGGAGGGGCCTGGACTCCAGTCGAGCCTGGGCGGGGCCACATGAGGCAGATTGGGACGGCAAACAGCAGGCCGGAGGGGCCTGGACTCCAGTGGAGCCTGGGCAGGGCCACATGAGGCAGACGCCTCCCCTTGCCTGCGACACCCCCCGCCCACGAGCGAGGTCATCAGAGAACCGGTTCTACAGCGTGTTCCTTTGAGGAGCACAACCACGTTGGCTGAAGCAATTCATAGCTGTAAAGGGGGGCAGAGTTCACCCCACCGTGGGGTCCCTCTCGGAAGCGCCCGGCTTCCAAACAGTAAGTGCCTCAGCCATTGTATTGCTTTAGATAGATGAATTGTTTGGAAAAACCCAGCCACGACCATTACAAAGGAAGCGAATGCAACATTTCCCTAGCAAGCGGGAGTGTCGGGCAGGGGCGTGGTTCTTCTCTTTTGGAAGAAACAGAATGAGTCTGCGTTACCTGCACTCCTGGCTGGGCAATGAACTGCTGATCTTTTGCTTCCACAGCCAGCTCCAGGCAATTGCTCCCGCCCCAGGCTTCACAGGGATAGGTCAGCAGCTGTTCTGCCAGCTCTTCGTCACTGCTGTAGCACTCCGAGAACAGCTCTGCAGGAGAGACAGTCCCACCAGGGCAGAAGGGAGAAGAGAAAGCCTGGGTCACACGCGCACCTCTTCGCTCTCTCCACATCTCTGGCCTCGGTTCGCTCACAGCGGCAGAGATCGGGAGGCTGGAACTCTTGAGACAAAGGTTTGTGCTGAGACTTTAACTCAGCCATTTTGTACATTCTGTATCTACTTTAGACTTGAGAGTGTCTGTCTGTCTGTCTGTTCAAGAGCGCCTGCTAAATGGTAAGAGCTAGGACCCCCAAATTCGGTAGGCGCTAAACCATCAAGGTTAGGGTTTAGTTGTGCCAGGACAATGGGATGTGCCTGGAATGGGATTGGAAGCTGCTAATCACCACGCTTCCGAGCCTGCTGATCTGGGTGCGTACCTACTGCTCTTGTCTCGTATTCATTCGCCAGCTCCTCAGACTCCCCGGCAGCATTGATGTCGTTCTTCACTTTGGCCAGGCTTTTCAGGAGTTTACTGGCCCCGAGGGCTGCCAACGTGCAGCCCCTCGTCTGCAAAGAGACAGAGAACCAGGAAGTCACAGGAGCGCTTGGCAAGACACGGCCAGCGCCATTCTTCTCCGCCATCGGCTCAGAGCACCAAGAGCCCTCTGTACGCGGAGAGCACGTGGCCCATTGCTTAATGACCCACTGGCTTCCTCCCGCACCCCGTTATGGGCCTGCTTTGTCCTTCTGGCATGGTTTGCTTATTTTGGACATTGATTAAAGGCTGGTGAATAGGGTGACAATGTCAGCAGTAGAAGACCCAAATCCACAAAACAAAGCATAGTCCAGCTACCCCATGCAGGACCATCATGTCATGCTGTTACTGAGCACATCCAGGCTCAAGAGGACTCGTTTTGTCTCCGTCATTAAAATGGCCTTTGCACGCTCTCCAAGGTGTCATGAATTTAGACACGTGGTGGAGTCCGACGCGCAGAATGTTCTCTACAGTCCCACAATGCAGCATGCTCACCCGGACCCCTGCTGACCCTGCTGGCCAGGCATGGCCCCAGGCACCTGCAATAGCAGATTGGGTGCCTGACTTAGGAGGGTGAAAATGATCAGAACTGTCCACTCAATTCCACGTGCCGCCGGTTTCAAGTGTCTAGTCGGATCTCCACAAATTCAGGAACTTCTGAACTGGAGAAAATTTCAGCCTGTGGCCACTCAGGTTTTGGTGTTTCAGGGCATGCCCACGCTGCAATAAAAGAGGCACAGCCTGGCCAAAGCTAACTCGTATCAGCTGACTTCGATTTTTGGGCCTTGGGCCCCAGGGCTACAAATCATAGCACAGACATTCAAGCAGAGGCCCCCGGAAGCCCCGGACAGGGATAGACCTCAGAGCCTGGCTTCAGCCCGGATCAAACATCGACGCTGCCATTTTTAGCCTACAAGCCTGCGTCAAGTGAACCGGGCTCTGACGCCCAGTGCAGCAGGGTTTCTGTTGCAGTGGAGACCCTCCGTCACGTCTGCCAAGGAGAGGTTAACCAGTGGTAAAAGGTACACACAGAAGGAAAGTCTACACTGCAGGCCTGGGACGAGGGGTCCGCAGCCCAGACCGCACAGGGTGTGACTTCTGGGTCAAACCATGTGCCCGGCTTCCAGGAGCTCCATCCAGGAGCTCCATCCTCCATCCAGAAGCAGCCCCAGCTATAAACCACACAGAAACCTGGGCCCAGCTATGAATTTCACAGTCTGCATCCTCTCGGTTACTGAAAGGCCGAATCAAGCCCTCCCTCAAACTTGAGGTGAGGAGAGGGTCTGGATTGTGGATTTCAAGATCCCAATTTAGTTAGAGGATTGGGAGAGGAGAAAATGTTAAACCGTTTAAATCAGTGGTTTATCGAATGTGCATTCGAGTTCCCAGATTGCTCTGGGAGGACTGTGAGCAAATGCTTGCAAAGGCTTAAAGTTCCAAGAGAAATAGACCAATGCTCGGGAGGCGGGGGACGGGATGGTACCTTACCTGTTCCCAAATGACTTTGGATAACTCCTTCTTGTTCTGAAGAACTGCCCAGATAAACAGAGCTTGCAAGGGATGCCTTGTGATAGACGATTCATCCTGGCAGGAAGCAAAGGCACGATCAGTCCAATAACGTTGGCTTTCTTTTTCAGATCAAGTGAATATTAGGTGATTAAACTTCTTAAACGTATCTTGCTGCTTTGTTCTCTCTGCACCGTTCCCCAGCAACCGTTAGGTCCCTTTAACTTGTGCTGGAGAATGAACTGGCTCCCCAAATGGAAGGCAATGGATAGGCAGAAGAAAGCCATCTTGGCTCCCACACTACCCATGTGGGAGGGGAGGGATAGCTCAGTGGTTTGACCTGCTAAACCCAGGGTTGTGAGTTCAATCCTTGAGGGGGCCACTTAGGCATTGGGGGAAAATCTGTCAGGGATGGTACTTGGTCCTACCTTGAGGACAGGGGACTGGACTCAATGACTTTGCAAGGTCCCTTCCAGCTCTCTATGAGAGAGGTATATCTCCATCTTGATGCCCATAGCTCCGCCAGTCTCAGGGAAATACACACTGGCTTCAGAGCTCAATGCCTTTTTTACAAGGAGCGGAGTGACGAGGGGAAAACCCTATTTGACAAATTTTAGCAAGGCCCGTATTGTGTTAAATCAGACCTCTAACTGTAATCTTGAAAATATTCTGGTGGTGATGCCTTCCCTTAGTTCATTTCATTGTAATATACCATGCATCCACTGATGACACTCAAAAGGAATAGCCCTCCAATAAAATTATTACGGGACATTACCTTCCACTCAGCAGGCGAATAACTCAGTGAAAAATGGGGAACAAAGTGTTGGCTGAAGATTTTAGCGCCAAGGGGGGGATTTAAACCAACCACTCATATGGGAATTGTGTCTTTGAATTCCCCAGCTGGTTCAGAAAATCTCATCATTGGAGGTTATAGTTTCACAGAGCATGAGGTCCGAAGGGGCCATTAGATCATCTCTCTGTGATTAAGTTTCACCCTGTTCCTCTCACACCAAACTCAGTAATTGAGGTTAAAAGAAAGCAATTCAGTCCCCGGGAGACTAAGAATCGGGTGTGCCACAGGCAGAAAAAGGGAGGGATTAAGATGCCACCGAAGATCTCAGGCATGCTGGAAGGCCAATCAGTTGTTTAGATGAGCTATGTCCAAAAGATAGGGAAGACATTTCTTTTCCTACTAAGGAACACATGGTTAGACAATCGGTTGGTTACCTACCAACAGCTGGATTTCGGTCTCATCCTTGCTGTTCTTATTCTCTTTTTTGATGCTCCTTCGGAAGTCCTCAACCATCCTCCACACAAAGGTGAGGAGGGCGTCGTTGTAGGAGTTCTTCGCAATCTGCAGGTTCTTAAACACCAGGCTGCTAAAGTTGTTGGCGAAGAGCTCGGTAAGCACCTCATGACTGAGAAACTTCCTCAGGTTTAAGCCGTTCTCCAGGAAGAGGCGGACGAATTTGGGCCGGTCCTTGATGAGAGCTATAAACATGACATCCTGAAGGTCTGCAGACTGGGGAAAAACAAAGGGAAAGCTCAGCTGTTACCAGGAAGCCAGGTGTTGGTCGCTGAACAGAGTTCTTAGGTCACCCCGCGCCCCATTCTGTCGTTGCTCATGTTTTGTTCTGGATCGATACGGGTCACATTTTGATCCACATTTCCTTCAGAATCCAGCCATGGCTGTGATTTGGAAAGTGAACCCAATAAGTCCACCGTGGCAGTCCATGCATAGGCGCCGTCAGAAATTTCCAGAATAAAATGGGTTAACGTTGTAAAAACTAACGTGCATTGCTACCGTGAGCAACGTCCTACTTCACCCTTCACTACCCACCCATAAATACTGGTCCTGCTAAGGCAGAACCGAATGGAGCTTGTTATTTCAAAGCCTCATCGACGTTTCAGATTGAGTCTCGGCTAAAAACCACGCCTCCTCTTGGGATATTTATCTTCTCTGTTTTGCATGCATTTATCCTCATGAAAGCATAGATCATCCCTGACAGGTGTCTGTCTAACCTGCTCTTAAATATCTCCAGTGATGGAGATTCCACAACCTCCCTGGGCAATTTATTCCAGTGTTTAACCACCCTGACAGTTGGGAAGTTTTTCCTAACATCCAACCTAAACCTCCCTTGCTGCAATTTAAGCCCATTGCTTCTTGTTCTATCCTCAGAGGCCAAGGAGAACAATTTCTCTTCCTCTTCCTTGTACCTTTTTAGATACTTGAAAACTGCTATCATGTCCCCTCTCAGTCTTCTCTTTTCTAAACTAAACAAGCTCAGCTCATTCAGCCTTCCCTCATAGCTCATGTTCTCTAGACCTTTAATCATTTTTGTTGTTCTTCTCTGGACCTTCTCCAATTTCTCCACATCTTTCTTGAAATGTGGTGCCCAGAACAGGACACGATACTCCAGTTGGGGCCTAATCAGTGCAGAGTGGAGTGGAAGAATTACACCTTGTGTCTTACTCACAACGCTCCTGATAATACAGCCCAGAATCATGTTTGCTTTTTTTTGCAACAGCGTCACACTGTTGACTCATGTTTAACTTGTTGTCCATGATGACCCCTGGATCCCTTTCTAGGCAGTCACTTCCCATTCCGTATGTATAAAATGGGTTGTTCCTTCCTAAATGGAATGCTTTGCGTTTGTCCTTATTAAAATTCATCCTATTGACCTCAGAACTTTTCTCTAGTTTGTCCAGATCATTTTGAATTTTGCAACCCCTCTCAGTTTGGTATCATCTGCAAACTTACTAAGTGTCCTCTCTAGGCCATCATCTAAATCGTCGATGAAGATATTGAACAGAACTGGTCCCAAAACAGACCCCTGCGGAACCCCACTTGTTATGCCTTTCCAGCAGGATTGTGAACCATTAATAACTACTCTCTGGGAACTGTTATCCATCCAGTTATGCACCCAGCTTACAGAAGACCCTGGTCTGATAGGTTAATGCATTGCCAGGGTGTCAGGCACACCTAGGACATTCTGCTCACATCTGAATGCATTGGAAACACCAGCACCGCGACGCCCATGTAAATGCTGCAAGTAAGAATTTCACCGTTGTCCCCCCCCCAGCCCCACTTGTTGGGCCAAGGGGCCATCTTTAACTACCTCCCAGTGTCGGTCATTGGTGAAGATCTCGTCGCTGGCCAGCTCCAGTTGGTTCCACTCCAGCAGCAGCTGAAGCTGCCCGTTCCAGTTGTCTTTGTCCTGTTCATTGGTGCCGAAGGCTGCAGGAGGAAGAGCCAGCTGAGGAAGGACTGTCAATTGGAGCGCACCTGAGCTCATGGCAGGAGCGGGCAATGGGAACTATGGGAATCAGCCAGGAATCAGGCTGCTTAAATCACCAGACACCAGGACAACTGCCCTCTTTTCTCCCCTTCCCCATCAGATGGGGAGCTAAGGCACAGACATGGCCATGGAATTGCAACCCGGGTAGCGGGATTCCCAGGTTTCGGGGCTAGCCTTGTACCCTTCAAAGAGCCAAGCGACATGAGAGCCAGCCGACGGGAGCTGAGCGCTCACCTTTATACAACGCAAAGGAAATGGCGTTGCTCACGATTTCATCTCCAGCTTCTTCGATTTTAATGACCGTGAGCAGATGGGGGTTTTCAATGATTTCTTTGATCTACAGAAAGAGAGAAGCCCAGTTCTAAAGCCATCGCGGGACTTGGGGGTTTGATCTGCTATTGATCAACAGAGCTGTGCACAGAGCTGTTTGTCGTGAGGTCACTCTCTACCCACAGCGAAAGCAAACCACAGAATGAGACTTCCAGTGATTTATTTCTAAGAAACTCACGAATTATAAACAGTAAGATGAATTGCCCTTTAGCATACAGCAATATCTTAGAACCATAGACTCCTGGGGCTGGAAGCGACCTTAGGAGCCATCGAGTCCAACCCCCTGCCCAAAGCAGGACCAACCCCAACACAATCATCCTAGCCAGGGCTTTGTCAAGCCAGGACTTAAAAACCTCCAGGGATGGAGATTCCACCCCCTCTAGGGAATCCATCCGACTGCTTCGCCACCCTCCTAGGGAAATAACTTTTTCTAATATCCAATCTAGATTTCCCCCATTCCAACTTGAGACCATTGCTCCTTGTTCTGCCATCTGCCACCACTGAAACCAGCCTCTCTCCATCCTCTCTGGAACCCCCCTTCAGGTAAGGGTTTGAAGGCTGCTATCAAATCCCCCTTGCTCTTCTCTTCTGCAGACTAAATAAGCCCAAATCCCTCAGCCTCTCCTCATAGGTCATGTGTCCCAGCCCCCCCCCCATCATTTTTGTTGCCCTCCACTGGACCCTCTCCAATACAGCCTCATACTTCCTTTTCATCCCACCCCAAGGAGAAAATGATAACCAGTTAGGCAAGTTCTCACTAAAATTAGAAACGATCCAGGAATAAATCTCCGATACCATGGTAGAGCCAATTCCCAAACATCTTGATGTTTTTATTTTGAGAAAAAGTTTCATCTGGCCACTTTGCTTGGTTTAAAAGCAGAGCTGATGGACTCTCAGAATCACGCTTTATGAAAGTCCCTTTTTTCTGGCAAGTTACAAATAAATTCCATACAGTCCCTTGCACTTGTATTTATACTTTCAGACTCTGACTGAACCAAGAGAAGCAGAGGCCTGTGAAACTAAGGTTTATGGCCTGCTTTAAGCACCTTGTCTTGGTTTTACATTTTTAATCCTCATTATAGAAGCCATTGGTGTTCTTGCTATCCATGTCAACGCCTCGTCTTTTTAAAATCCACTAAGCTCATTGACTCCAAGGTGTCTTGTGGCAAGTAGTTGCACAGGCTCCATGTGAGGGAAAGGGTTCTGGTATTAATTAGAGGAAAGCTCTTTAAATGTATTTAGTACTTTGGTGCATAACTTGAGCTCTTTCCTCACAGGTCCCCCTCTCCCTTCTGTCTCACCAACATTCTGGGTATGTCTACACTGCAGAGTTTTTTCAGACAAACGGCTATTTTCCCAAAAAAACGTCACTTACGTCCACACTGCAATCGCATTCTTTTGAAAGAAAATCAACAGAACAGAGGGGTTTTCCGACATTGGTAAACCTCTTTCTACGAGGAAGAAGCCTTTTTGCGAAAGAGCTCTTTCAGAAAAAGCCGTGTGTGGATGGCAAAGAGGGAATACTTTCAAAAAAAGAAGAAAGAGGAAAAAGCACAGGTGCCCTGGTGGCCACTTTGTCCATAGTAATCACAGCTTAAATGCGAGAGAGCATCCACTCAATGTGATGTTATCTTTCGAAAAAGCAGATCACTTTTTTGATGCGCTTTGGCAGTGTGGATGCTCTCTTTCGGAAGAATTTTTTCACAAGATTTCTTCTGGAAAAGCTTCTTCCGAAAGAAGCCTGCAGTCTAGACATAGCCTCCAGCAAAGCCAGCACCCACCCATCGGATCCAGCTTTCAGTATCCTCCTCTGTGAGTCTCGAAACTGTGTGAGGCAGGTATCGGAGCAGCCTCTCCTTGACAGATGAAGAGGCTAGAATGCCTTCAGCCTCCACTAAGCTCGCTATCACATCAGCAATCTGGCCGGAGCCCTCCACTACGATGCAGGGAATTTTGCTTTTGATGGCAACGTTGATAGCCTAGGAAAACACAGTAGAGAGGCACATAAATAACAATTAAAAACCTACAGTTAAGTAACCAAGTGAACTTTTTTGGTGTGGTTTGTGTGCAGGGACTAGAGTTCCCCCAGCTCCTGCCAATATTGTCACTACTACCAGCAAGGGACAAGAATGGCATCTAATTCAGTAAGAGCAAAGGGCTATGGGTACTCAGGGACAAGAATCAGAGTGGGGCGAAAGTCGCAGTAACTAAAGTAGATTAAAGTTCCACTGGATAAACTTCTGTTGCTAATGCCCAACTAAACTCAAGCCACCTGCTGAATATGAGCTGATAGAGGTATCTATCTCTTTGCAAAATAGGGTGGACTCAAACTATATAGCATCCTCATGTTAATTTCAGCCCAATCAGTCAACGTTTGGAAAAGTGAAACACAACTGAAAATGGAGTGTTATAATGGGAAGTGTCAGGCAACCGTAATACTTTGCTATGAGTCCCACTTCAGATATGGTTAAAATTGGGACAAAACGCCTCTGGATGCTTCATTTTTCTCATTTATTTTCAGACTTACCTTCAAAGTTTCTTTCCCTCCACCTTGGGTGAAACACACGATCGGAATCTTCCCACCATAATTAGAATCTGGAAGAAAGGAAAGGAAAGGAAAGGAAAGGAAAGGAAAGGAAAGGAAAGGAAAGGAAAGGAAGAAGTCTGGCTTTGCAGTCTTAAAGCATTTGAACAATTCTCATACTTCACCTCTTATATATGCCTTATGTTCCTGGTCGGGAGAGGTTATTCGATTTAGCTTTAATAATATTTTACATACAAATACTCAGATTCCCAACTTTTGGCTGATCTAACCAAATTATTTTTACAGTCATCTACTCCATTGCTATTCAACGTTTAGTTATCCTCACTAACCCATCTTGCCTAATCTACTGCCAGACATCAACACCGAGATGCAGTGTTTCCAAAAGTTACAAAGCCAGGCTAAAGTCTTAAGGAATTTGCATTGCCACTCTCCAGTGCTTAAAAACATAAATTAATGATAGACTTGAGGAGAAAGGAGCTCATTTGCATGCTGATTTCTGACTCTTCAATATTCAGGTCTTCACGTTTCTCCTTGCAAGCATGAGGGCTGGAAATGTAAATCAAACGGAAGGGAGAAGCCACCTGCTCACAAACACTCCAGCTAGCTCAGTAGCACCGGTGCAGGATGAGCCAAAGGCAGAGAATTGCACCCACCTGGAATGACGCGCTCTGAAATGTATTTTTCTAACTGCGTCCGCAGCTTGGCCTCCACGGTTGGATGTCCATGGGTGCCGTTGTCAACCAGCAATAAGTGGGTGTGATTATTGTCCAGGCAATACAACGGGTCTCTCTTAAGGTCGTCCATTATGTAGTGGGCTGCATAGTACCCCTAGAAACATCAACAGAAGGTTTCCACTGAGGTGGGCAGGGCCTGTTGGAGGCAGTACTGGAAAGGGGGACACACAAGGCCAGTAGGAGGGCCATGATGGTTGTGCTCTGATTTTCCAGGTTTTAGTCACATGCGAATTTCCAGACCAGACCAGGGCAAAGTTCCATCTGGCCTGTGGCCAGCCCTAGCCGCTTCAGAGCGAGTTGCAGGAGTAGGCCAGGCTCTGTGCAGACAGTGGTGTGGATGGAGAGCAGGGAGGCATTTGAGGAGACCAGAGAGGTTGGAACAATTTGCACAGCGGGGGTGCTGGCAGCCATTGGACCAAACTGGAAACCCTGCCTATACTGGAAACCCATTCAAGCCGGGGGAAGATGGGGGCACTCCCAGAATCCCTAGCTCCAGCACCTCTGGCCAAGGCCGCATTTACTCAGCATATTGCACCGTCTTCTAGGCTTTCCGCTGGCTTCCCGGGACCCGCTTGGCATCACTACATGTTCCTCACCTCAGCGTCGCCACTTCGGATCAGACTCTCCCGGTTGGAAATCATGCCCCAGGCCGCTATGCCGATAGCCACCACGTTCTCCTCCGAGCTCCTACTGATGGTGTTGTCCCTCACCACCTCACCAATGTACTTCATCAGGCCATAGTGAGTGCCTCCGGTGAAAATCCAGGCCCCTGCCAAGAGCAGGTACCAAAGGTAAGTTAGCCATGGACCTAGCACTGTGCAAAAAACTTCAGGTCTGTATAGATACGTGCCGTGTGTCATCCCCGATTCTCCACTGCCCTGAACCTTGTGTGGGCGTGATGGCCGGTGGGTGCAACCGGCTGCAGTTCTGAGGTGGCAGGATGGCACGCCGACGCAGGGGACAACACAAAAGGGCAAGGCTGAGGGGATTTAAGACATTTAGCCAATTCTTTAGCCCCACTAGGTCACTGGAGAGATGTTAATTCCCATAGGAGAGAGGAAGAAGAGGAAGAAATGTTGTAAGACTTACCCCGAGCTGCAAAGGACACTCTCGTCAAAGCTAAGAATGGCTCTCCGCCCCCACGTCATTAGGCCATATTTGTCTGAGGTGGACTAAACCGGCCACCACTAATAGAAAGCTCTGCCTCGCTGCTTAAAGCTTCTCCTCCTGCCTTATTTGGCGGAAGGCTAATACACCAGCCGATTGCACCATTCACCTCTCGCATCAGCTAAATCCCAGCTTCAGTTGCTGAACTTTTAAACGGGGTTACTCTAGGGCCGAGTGTAGCCCGGGTTTTTTAAATACAAACCCTTACATTCGCTTTCCCTGTTGTCTTCCTCTCCGTGCCAATGGGCACAACTGAATTCACGGGGAGTCATTTCATAAATGGTTGTAAAAGGCCTGGGGACGCTCAGAGCAGCAGCCAAAAGACAAGCTTGCCCCAAGACATAGGCCTCATTTTTCCCCAGATTAAGCCCACATTCATTTTGGGGCAAAGTCAGTTAAAAGACTGACATGGATTTCAGTGAGACCGGGAATTGTCTCTTGGTGCATATTCCCCGATCATCTGTTTTCCTTTCCCTTTGTTAGTGTCTAACCTCCCAGTTTATCCCTTCTGCTCACAAACCGAGAGATACGAAGTGAGTCCCCTGGAGGAAAACACAGGTGCTTCAAGGCGGGCCAGCAGTGCCTTTCACCTTTCGACTGGGCAATGTAGATCAGCCTGCTGAATATCTTGCGCATCCGGGGCTTGAGAGCGAAATTTTTTGCCCCGCCTGTGACCGAGATGACCAGGTTGGGAGTTTTCAGATGCCAGTGTTGAGTCATCAGATCATAGAGCATTTCGGAGTCTGTATCGCATGACAGCCGGATGTACTGCAAGGAGAGAGGACATGAGGCAGGGTTAGCGGCGATACAGAGGACCAGAGTCATCCCACGAGGTCTCAAAACGAGCTTTGCTCCCCTTCTCCCTCACCTGCCAGAGAATCATTTGTGTCCAGACAAAACACAAAGCAGGTGACAACAGGTTGCACGACATTTGGTGCCGCATTGCACAGTAGTAAATGAGCAAAGTACAAAGCAATGGGGGATCAAGCCAAGAGTGTGTTTTCTGTGAGCTATTTTAGGGCCTATATTTTCCCTACCCCGAGGACCTGAATAGAGGGGCGTTTTGTTGTTGTTTTTTCTTTGAAGGTTTTTTTGCACTAGGAAATGTGTGTAGATGGTGGGGACTGATTAAAAATGTAGCACAGTGCATTGAGAAGAGGAGGAGTTCATTTTTGACTGTTTCTCCAACTTTCTCCAGTTATAAAGAACAAGAATTTCAAAACCAATGTTGGTTCCCCAAAATAGTCTCAGTCCCAATCATTTGCAAAAAAAAACCCAATTTTTTCTCCAAAAAGTGACCCTGTATTCCTACATTGAAACATGCCTTTTTTTAAACAGGGGTGTTACACCCTAAATAAGTGGCCAATGTGCGTGATTCTCAGCCTCCTGCAATTCTCACTGATGTAAGTGAAAGATGACATGGGCTTAGAATGCTTGAGAAAAAATCAGCTTGCTTGTTCACGCACCTAGCGTTAGGTTCCTGGGTTTGAAAAATCGAAGCATTTCCCCCCTTTGAGTGTTTTGGCTTCTTTTTAATTATTTTGAATTTATTTTGCAAAGTCTAATGCAAAGAGTCACAGGGCAGAAGCCATGGATGGACAGGGGGGAGTTAAAATACATGGAGACAGCTTGTTTGTCACTCACCTTTCCTCTTTTCCCAAGATTTTCAAACTGAATGTCCCCGAAAGCATCAGTCGGAAGCTCCTTTGTGTGTTTCCTGTAATTCCATTTCTCGCTGTTATTTACCTGTGTCCCCTCTATGTGTTGGCTTTTGGAATACCCACATTTACACAGGTGATCCCTGCCAAGAAGAGCGGAGAGAGAAAAGGAAACAGATGAACACCTTCTGCCCAGAAAACAAATGCTATTTTCTTTCCGTGACAGATAGCGGAATGACAACTAAAAGCAGCAAGCAGCTTTTCCACATGTATTTGACATGTAGGTTGACCATACATTGTGTACCTACAGTGTTACAACTTATGCTTGAATAAATAGGATACTTCTAAGCAGGAGTTTAAAGTTGAATTCTTAAACAGAACTAAGTCGTTATGGTGTTTGGACTGAAAGATGCATGAGGTCCAAGGTGAAATGTCACATCTACCTCTTAGGTCTATGCAAGAGGGAAGCAGATCAAAGAGCTCTACAACTCACGAATTTTCAAGTCTTAGTGCCATGTGCCTACCCAACAAACAAAAATTAAATGCAGCGTTCTAACTCTGCAACCCGGCATTTCAGCGTTCATACAACTTGCTGCTCCAACCAAAAGCGTTCAATAGGTACAAAAAACTGAGCGGAGGCCAGGCCTTGGGCCTTGGTTACGTGATGCGGTTACGTTCTAGTCACATCCCCAGAACTCAGGATGCATTGCAACCATCATGGCAGAGTCCTATATTAGACGTCATCTTGACAGATAAAAAGGAACTGATCACAAACTAATCACAAAGCTCCACAAACCCACATTAGCTTAAGTACCCTTTTATCCAAACTAAAAACAATTCTGAGCCAGCTCTGTGGGGAGGAAGAACTTAATCCAAAAAATATGGGCTAGGTGGAAATTGATTAAGAACGCTTTCCTACAGCCCCAAAAAGTTAGAACTGAAGAAGGCAGCCATATTGGTTAAAAAAACAACGTGTTTTAGAGGGAAAGGAAAGACAGCCTATAAAAATGTAACATATGGAAAAAAGGGGAAAATTCACAGTAATGACTAGAAATCAGAAGCTAGAAATTGTAGAAAAAAGGAAGCCAAGGGACACAAGGAGAAATCTATGGCCAGCACAGTAAAGGAGAATAAGAAGGAACATTCTAAGTATGTCAGGGTATGTCTACAATAGCCCCCTAGTTTGAACTAGGGAGGCTAATGTAGGCATTCGAAGTTGCAAATGAAGCCCGGGATTTAAATATCCTGGGCTTTATTTGCATCTTCCCATCCGGGCGCCATTTTTAAATCCCCCTGGTCCGAACTAACTGCCTGAGGCTACACGCAGCAGTCAAACGTTAATTTGAACTAAGTCCTTAGTTCGAATTAACTGTTACTCCTCGTGGAATGAGGTGTAACAGTTAATTCGAACTAAGGACTTAGTTCGAGTTAACATTTGACTGCTGTGTGTAGTCGCAGGCAGTTAGTTCGGACCAGAGTGATTTAAAAATGGCGCCCGGGCGGGAAGATGCCAATAAAGCCCAGGATATTTAAATCCTGGGCTTCATTTGCAAGTTCGAATGCCTACATTAGCCTCCTTAGTTCGAACTAGGGGGCTAGTGTAGACATACCCTTAGAAACAAGCAGGTTCCTGAGAGTAGGCTTGGTCCGTTATTGATGGAAATAACTGAATTATCATTTAAAAAGCACCACAGGCAGCAGTGTTCAGTTCATATTTCTGGCTTGTATTGGGGGAAAACCAGGCAACGGAGTCATGTCATAATGACGCTGAATTATACTCCCCCCATTCCACGACTATTTCAGGGGGAGGGCAAGCAGCAGCTACTCAAATCAGATGTTTTAAAATCAGCTGGTCTGGCTAAGCCAGAAGTGGAGGAAGGAAAAAGATGTGGAGGCGTTTGTGGGAGACCAGAGTGAGACTTAGAAGAAACCCAAAGGCCGGAGTGTTTGCTTACATTGACTTGGCATCTCTCGTGAAGAAGACGCATTCTCTCTTCTTAAAATGTTCTCGAATGAAGTTGACCAAATCCTTTGGGAGAAGATTAGAGAGAAAAGTTTTAGCCCCGAAAACTAAAAAGTTTTAGCACCGCAAATCCCAGGAAGGCGGTGCCGGTGCCTTACACTGGCATTTAAAGGAAAATGGCCACGGTTCGTTGCATTTTGTTGGTTTACAATGTGGCATCAGGGCCTGTGTGGACATCACAGTGCAAGTGCGTGGCAGGCAACAGCTAAATCCTTTTGCTGTAATAGAAATATTAACAGAGGAACTTTCAAAAGAAGTAAGGGAACAACTCTCCGCGTCTCTGATTAGGACTTGGTTAGATGAGGAAAAAGGTGTTTTAGTAGAATCAAAGCAAACAGCTCTTCTATTGTCCCTTAAGTACATGCTACAGAGAGTCTCCCATTGCTGAAATGTGGTTCCATCTTCTTATTCTCTCTCTCTGGATTTAACCCAGCATGTTCATCCAGCAAACGTCGCAAGAACGAGGTCATTGTGCAGAAATTGCAATGCTGCCCCCACTTCCACCACAATTTTGAATACCACTTGGTTAGTGTAGACCTGGTTTAACACCTTTGGAAAGGTTATGGGGTTCTCAGTTAGCAGTACATGCTAAATAGTATTTAAAACCATCCCACCAACATCCCAAAGAAACGTTTTTTTCTTCCTTGGCCCTGCCAAAACAATGCCAGCTCTACTTGCTATTTCAATATACCCCGTAGGGGAGTAAATGTCTCAAGTCAATCCGCAATGGAATTCAAATTGTTTTAAGGTCATTCCCAATTCCAATTTTATAATTAAACTCTGCTAAATTAAACATGCTGCCATAGACCTGGCCTTGAAAAGACTGAAAGCTCCCTGAGATGCAGCCGTTTCTATGGAAATGTTAATTCTTCCGTACCTAATTTGCCTCCAGAGAGGAACAAAATGGAAGCTTCCTGTCTGGTCATTAAATGTTTGTATTGGACTCTTCATTACTCTTATTTGTTTAGGGGAGAACTCTCGTACGGTTAAAGGAGAAGTCCTCTGTATTGGAAGGGTTCAGATCACCCTACTTGTCTGGACCATGTGCAGCAGCAGAGGCACGCAGGAGCAATGCAAGGAAAGAAAGAGCACGTTAGAGGGATGTGACTCCTCTCCTATGTGGGAGCATAAGAGGCCAGGGTGCAACCCTTTTACATCAGGAGCCCGCACAGGCCACTCTATGAGGGTATGTCTACACTACCCCGCTAGTTCGAACTAGCGGGGTAGTGTAGACATACCCTCATAGAGTGGCCTGTGCGGGCTCCTGATGTAAAAGGGTTGCACCCTGGCCTCTTATGCTCCCACATAGGAGAGGAGTCACATCCCTCTAACGTGCTCTTTCTTTCCTTGCATTGCTCCTGCGTGCCTCTGCTGCTGCACATGGTCCAGACAAGTAGGGTGATCTGAACCCTTCCAATACAGAGGACTTCTCCTTTAACCGTACGAGAGTTCTCCAAGGCACAGCCTGTTTGGGGCCTTTTTGTGCAACTTCTCCTCATGGTGGAGTTTGGCCTAGACCAGGAAAGACTCCTGGACAAGAATTCTACTAGAAATAAACATGTACGTGGACTGAAATCAGTGCTTCTTGTGGAAATGCTATGCTGCTCCCGTTCGGGCAAAAGTCCTTTTGCGCAAAGCTTTTGCACAAAAGGGCCAGTGTAGACAGCTCAGATTTGTTTTGCGCAAAAAAGCCCCAATCGTGAAAATGGCAATCGGGGCTTTTTTGTGCAAAAGCACATCTAGATTGGCACGGATGCTTTTCTGCAAAAAGTGCTTTTGCGGAAAAGCATCCATGCCAATCTAGATGCTCTTTTCCACAAATGCTTTTAATGGAAAAGTTTTCCGTTAAAAGCATTTGCGGATAATCATGCCAGTCTAGACGTAGCCCAAGAGAAGGAGGAGGGACAGAATCCAAACACAGATCCCATCGCGTATTTTGAAGCTATCCCCTGTCCATGAGCCAAACCAAACCCTGGAGCTGAATATGTTTCAATTTGGAGTGCTCTGAGCCCAGTAATGAATCCAACAGAGATGGTTTGGCCCCCTCTCTAAAGTTACTTCATTTGATCTGTTCAGTTTCAGACACCTGCCCATTTCAAGTGATATGTTCACTCTCTTCGTTTTATGTGCTCTGGTCCTGGTCGATACAGGAATCTACACAGCAGCATTATTTCGGAATAACAGCAGTTATTTGAAATAATGCCAAGCTGGTAGACTTCTCACTCTGACTCTTGTAACCCTCATTTCATGAGGAGTGAGGGAAGTCGGGGGAAGAGTGCTCTTTCTCGGACTTCCTGCTATGTAGACAGCACCAAAAGCCGAATTCAACTATTTCAACTTCAGCTACATCACTGACGTCACTGAAGTTGTGTCACTTAATTCAACTTTTGCCCAGCAGTGTAGACATGCTCTCAAGAACATCTGAAAATATGGGAGTTCTGTTGCTTATGCTTTGAATCACAGTGCTCCTTCAAAGCAGCTCCTGTTTCCCAAAGCCCAAAGCTGATAAGATTGTACCTAAATAGTTCATTATTTTGGCAATACGAACAACCACTTACGGGAGACACCAGGCTCCCACTGCAGCCCCCCCTCCTCCCAGCATCTGAGTTCCAAAGTCTACATTCCAAAGTCTTCCAAATTGCCTGCGAGGATGTTTTACATGAAGAAAATGTGCAAGGCAGCGGAAGGATCAGAACCAATCAGTCCTGATTGGTATGAAGGAAAAATCCCAGAAATCCAGAATTGTTCCATCGAGATGCATTGTGCGAGTTACTTACACTGTCACTGTCCGACACATCTGTACTGCGAGAAATACTGGAGTAAAGAATTTTGGAACCTTCCAAAGTGCCATTTCTTCTGTTTTTCATGGTTCCCATGCAAACCTAACAGCAGCCATCAGCCTGTGGGGGAGAGAGAAAGAATTGGGGGATCAACATGGATGTTGGCTTTTTTCTCCCCTGCAATAGACAAAAAAAAAAAAAAATTGAGATCACACCTGGTGCTTGGATTCCATTGGTGCTTGGGTTCCAGTCAAACCCTGCTTAGGCCACGTCTCCACTTACCGGAGGATTGGTGATCAGTTTTCTAGGGTTTGATTTAGTGGGTGTAGTAAAGACCCGCTAAATCAAATGCTGAGGGCACCCTATCGACGATAGTACTCTTTGCACTAGTGTGTAACATATTCCAAAGTACATAGTTAATCATAGTTTCATTCTAGTCCATTTTCATTATAAAAATTACTGTGTTAATATTGCACATTTCAGCATAACTCACAATCTCATCAGAAGGTCCTAGAAGTGCACCAGCAAGTGGCTTTGAAGCGAGAATCAAGGCGTGGTAGCACTTTGCTGCATTGAGAACGTTGACATGGCAGGATGGTATCTGCTCCAGGTTCCCCAGAAGGCAGCTCGTCACATCTAGACTACATGCCTCTGTCGCCAGAGGCATGTAGATTAGGCTACCAGACATAGTAAAATGAAGCGGCGACTTAAATAATCGCCGCTTCATTTAAATTTAAATGGCTGCCACGCTGAGGCGATCAGCTGTTTTGTTGGCTCAACGCGGTAGTCTGGATGCTCCGCGGTCAACATCAAAGGCATTCGAGACCTCAGAAGGTCATCAAGTCCAGCCCCCTGCCCTAGGCAGGACCAATCCCAACTAAATCATCAAGTTGGAACCAACCTTTAAAGCTCTGAAGTCCTTGGAGTCTTGTAGCCCAGCCATGAGGGAGGAAGCATGGGTGTCCATGTAACAGCTTAGTAATCTTCAGCTCTTGGACTAGCCATTATTTAAATCGCCGCTTCATTTTACTATGTCTGGTAGCCTAATCTACATGCCTCTGGCGACAGAGGCATGTAGTCTAGACGTACCCTAAGTAGCTGCAGGAACCAGAACTTGGTACCCAAGGTGCTGAGCATAGCTGAGCTAGATTCAGAAGCTCAAAAAACAGAAACACTAATAGAAATCTAAGTTGCAAGCCTCTAAGCAATGAAAGAAGCTACTTCCCCCTTGCACATGGGAACTAGTCCGGCCGTTAAGGCTCTGGGTTGGCACTCAACCGAGCAAGTTCCAATCCCTGTTCAGACACAAATATCAATCTTTCTGCTCCTCAGTCCTTCTCCATACAATGGGGCTAAAATTACTTCCTTTCCCCATCCTTGGACTATTTAGAGTGTGAGATGTTTGAGGCAGGGACCATGCACTCTGTGGTGTGAGGAGAACCCCATGATGTCACTTAGCACTGCCCTGTTGTAAATAATAAATACTCATTTCTGTGCGATAAGGCAGGAGACATCTGGTGATTGGAAATGGGCAAGCGATTTATTCATGAGTTTGGAGACTAAAAACAGCCAAGAATGCCGTCAGATTGCCTGAAAATACCATTTCAGAACATGTTGCAAGCAATAAAATGAGCTAGCTCAAGAAACATGCCAGCAGGTATTATTTATGTTACGCTACACTAATGAATGTTTCACAGATACTTCATGAGGTGTTCCTAGGCTAGAAACCTGTTCCACTCAAATATTGACTATCATTCTTCACTGTGGGCCAGACTCTCATTCCAATCACATTGGTAGAAATCCACTCTCGCTCTATAACTCCACCACCATCACCAAGATCAGAATCTGGCCCTGCATCTGTAACGTACATTCCTTTTTGTCACCCCGAGAGAATTCCATCTCTTGCCAGTACATGTCTTCCAACTGGCCTCAGTTCCCAGAAACTTTCCATCAACTTGCTATTATCAAAAATAATGACTCCATTGTGTCCCATCATTGCAAATGCACTTCATATGCTCGGTAGCAGCACTGATGGTAAGAAATAAAGTCTGTACGATTACTTGGCTGTCTGTCTCACATGTTTCGTAGGTGTTCCATCTTAATGCAACATCACAGAGCTAATGGCTTCTCAAAACGGTCCCAAAATATAACACTCCTTCAATCTTGAAATAATTTTGCCCCTCTAAGGGTTTTCTCATTTCAAAACTGCTGGAAAAGAATTCTAGCTAGCATTCCCAGTAGAAGTATTCCAGCAACACTCAAGTATTGAAGAGTTTTTAATAGCGGGATTATGGTGAACTGGTGGTAGCAAATTGAGAGGCATGTGTCATAAGGCAGAAATACTTCAAAGGTGACCTGCAAAAGTGGGGAGAACTGGACACATAGTCAGATTAGATATTTCATGATGTACAAAGAGGGCTAGATTAAAATGTCAAGAATTAGACTGTTTTCTGTTTTATATATATATTATACGAGCAGATTCACATGGCATTGCTCGGATCCTTAACTCAAGGCTGGGAGAGGCATTGGAAAATGAAAGGATATGCTTTATTGAAATGATTTTTTAAAAATACAGTGTTATTTTTACAAAGTTAATTTTTAGTTTGGAGTTCTTAGAATAAGGGATTGTTAAAATTTTCCATTTAATTATTTTAGTAATTTTTTTTTAAATGGGAATTCTATCAAGTGTATTTTTTTCTTTGTCCCTATAAGCTCTTATCATCCACTATGTTTTAACAAAAAAAAGGGGGGGTCCTGTCAATTTGGTTTCCAATAACATTTGTTTCTAGTTTTCAGACCTTAAGTATTGATTTAGATGGGCCAAAATAGAGCAATACTCCAAATTTCTCGGTCTTATCTCTTTTCTTCAAGGCATATTGAGAAGCAATCCTATTCCCGGTTCATCCTGTTTTTCTGGCTCATCTTGGTTTAGTCCCTTTCAAAACTATGTCAGTTTTGAGGATGGTACTTGATTTGGTGATTCTGTCTCTTTTCTGCATGGTTTTAGGAGAAGCAATCGCATTCCAGGCATATCCCATTGTCCTGGCACAACCAAACCCTTACGCCGCATTAAATTCTGCTCAGAGGAAGCTGTGTACTGAATTTGGTGGTCCTACCACTTACTGTTTAGGAGGAGTTCTTGATAAAAGACAAATTCTCTAAAATACATAGCAGATATGTAGGAAATTATATAGGCGTTGTCTATGCTGCACAAGTGCTATTCATTTGAATTATGACATCTCAAGAGTGAACACCGAACAATGAAAATGCAATGGGATTTTTAATCACTGTTTAAAACTGTTTGGGTCAACTCCCATTTAACTAATCAGAGCTTGAGAGACTTTCTCTCGCCTCATGCTTTCCAGGCAGCTATGAGCTCACCCCATATATTTAGAGACCAACAGGCGCAAGAAAGACCTGACTTCATTGTCTGGTTATTTCTAGGGTAAAAACAAAAGCAGGGAAAACTATAGGAAGCAAAAAAGGGGACACGTTTAAAAAAAAACATTTCAAATTACCCTTTACTCACACATGAAATCTGAATTCTGTCCACGGACAAAGCCAGGATACGTCACGTAAATCTGACTACCTCCCGCATTCAGACCTTACGCATGGCATTGCAGAAGCAAACATCCTCCTCCCTGTTCTTTATGGAAGTCACCCTGGTGCAAATTGTAGCTCATGCACCGGCTCCTGGTACATAACCACAGACCAAGGGTGCATCTGCACAGCACCCTAAACGTATCTTATTTCAAATCTATTTCGAAATAGCTTATTTTGAAATTTGGCGCATCTACACAGCACCAAATTTCAAACAGCAAGTTATTTCGAACCATTCCTTATCTCTCGTGCAAAGAGGTTTACCAGGATGGTGAAATAGCGCGCCCGTTATTTTGAAAAATATTTTGAAATAATGGGAAGCTTCTGTAGACACAGGGTCTACATAGTCTTCCATCAGGGCTTTGGGATGATATTTTTTTTCTCCTCCACACTCTCATCTCTACCCCATTGGATTCTCCACATACAGGCAGTCCCCGGGTTACGTACAAGATAGGGACTATAGGTTTGTTCTTAAGTTGAATTTGTATGTAAGTCGGAACCGGCTCCAGATTCAGCCGCTGCTGAAACTGATCAGCGGCTGACTACAGGAAGCCCGAGGCAGAGTTGCTCTGCCCCCGGCTTCCTGGAATCAGCCGCTG